CCCCCATCCCGTCGTGTTTGGAGACGCGTACGAGAGCGTCTTTTAAAGTACTCGATCTGTCGAATTATTTTCTTAGAAATCTTTGTAAATTTTAGCTGCAACTCAGAATTTTTCACCGTTTTGTCTTGAAAGTGGAACCATAATAGGAAATTTACAATTTGTAGTAACGCGATATAAGCTCACACATATCCGGGGAAAAATGATTATATATGTTGATGTATAATTATATAAAATCATATATGAATTTTGCCCACATATCATACATATATATCTATAGGGAAGAAAATGATATTATGTAATTGAATTAATAAATGTCGATATCATGTGCTGTCAGAAGCACAAGTAGCCAGAAGCATTTACTTCGATTGTATTTCCATATAATTTATGAATAACAGTATTTTTTTCGTCGTGGACATATATGATTATATACAGCCATGTGTGGGCAAATTTCATACATGATCTTTTTTCCCAGGTATATACATACTTAAATATTAATACATATTTAAATATTTATACACCACTTTCTATCAAGAGTGCACCTCTATTATCTCACGACTGACGTGTGAATAAAGCATTAATAAGAAGAATAAAGAATAAACTATATCTCCGCGTTTGTAATATTGCATGTATAACCAGGTAGCACAGTTCGTTTCACATTCTTTGAACGTATATAATACGATTATGAAACGTTACATTCGTCTAAAGAAACGTGTACGAAACTAACATCGGCTACCTCGATATCTGTCGTAATTTCGCGCGCGCTTCAAATTAACTTTTATTTTTTTTTACAGTAAATAATAAATTTTTGAAGAGTCCCTTCAGTATCGCCACTTAAAATCCGGCGCCTTGCGATCCGACGCCCAGGTACTTTAAATCGCGATTGAACGCCTTTCGATAGATCGTGGGAATAGAGGAGGCAGATCGAAAAGCGAATATTCGACTCGGCGCGGCTCAAAAACCGTACACGCAGAACGAACTGACAGAATGATGCGGCACGCTCTCGTGAGAAGAAAAAGAGAGCGTAAGAGAGGAAAGAAGGCGCAAGGGAGGTTCTAGGTAGGTCACCGAACTTCCAATTTCTCGTTGCTTGCTACATATCGATCTTGGCGACCGGTTCTTCGATCGTACGGCTGCGCTTCCGCGTAAATTTGGAAGGCGGTCGGTAACCGTTATGCGCCTTATTAACGGGGCATAAACGAAGCAGAAGAACGTCTAACAATCAGATCTTTTTACATTTCAGGTCGTCTTAAGTTCATCTCCCGATGTACTGATACTGGTGAGCTCATTTCGTTGGCTATGAAGCACTTGAGAACGAATCTAAAATTAACTTAAAACGATCTTAAATATAAGACCAGACTATGAATATCGGCTTTAATTCCTCCCCTCTTCCTAGGTAGAACAAATTTTTAAAAGATCTCTTCAAGACTGATAGATATCTAAAAAAAGAAATGGAACACCTTTTGGGATGCCTTTAAGACATCTCTTAGACATTTGTTCTGCTTGGGGGTTCTCTCTCGCCTTATGCGTTAATAAAATTGCAGATCGCCCGCGAAGCGAACTTCGAGAACTCGACTCGCGCTCGCTCGTGGCTTCTGCTTCTAACGAAGTGCAAACAGCGGTTTCTCCTCAATTTCAGACAGACAAACAGACAGACGACGCTGTGATTTATAGGATCTCCGATAAACGCGACTTATATATTTCGTTAATTATGAAGACGCGCGCACGCGCGACGAGGCGTGAGAGAACTCGCTCGGGCATTAGCGGTTAGCTAATTCACTGCGCGCAACAGTGAGAAGTAATACATAAATATCTATCTAATCTCATAGTACAGAAGAGAAAGAAAGAGAGAGAGAGAGAGAGAGAGAGAGAGAGGCGCACTCACACTTTGCGAACGTCGATGGGCTCCTTGAAAATGTCATTTAATCCCGCCGGGGGAGGCGATCCTCGCCGACGACGACGCACGGCGACGCACCGCGTCCGCGCTCTTCGGAAACTTCACACCACCGGTTGCGCGACTCGACGACGAGGACGATCGGACGACGCGATCAATCGGCACGATTCTCGCTCGCCCGGACTCGCGATTCTTCACCGGAAAGCGAGGAAAGCGGGGTAGCGCGCTGATAACAAATTCGTCGTCCGGTAAATCTTGATCGGCTGAATCGACGACGATTCCTCGGTGACGCGCTTACTCTTTCTCTCTCTCTCTCTATCTCTCTTCCTCTTTTGCCGTTTCTTCCTTCGCGTCCGTCCAAGCTCCTCGTTCTCTCTCTCTCTCTCTCTTTCTCTCTTCGTCTCTTCTCCTCCTTGCCTTCTTCCCTTCTTCTTCGTTAAGGGATCAAGGACGTGTGGCAGTTGGAACTATTTTGCGGTCGACCTTGCTGTCAGACTCGCCTCGGAGTAGCGACCTCAGCCTCGGAGCCTCGGAAGATTACACGGAGCGTGTTTCGCGGACTTCTCCCTTTTCTTCGGCCGCGCCGCTCTTTTCTCTCTCGCGCGCGCTTCACTACTCCCTCTTGTCCTCCGCGCGCTGATCTCGCCTGGGCGCTTGACACACTCGCTCGCTCGCTCGCGCGCTTCTCTTCCTGCGCTTCCACTTGTCCGCCGCTTCTGCCGCGTCTTATACCTTGGATAAACACGTACTGCAAGGCAGGATCTTTCGCCGGGGCGACGACGACGACGAGCGCAGCGGAACAAGAGAGGCAAGAAGAGATATAAGGAGGGGGAGACGCTCCCGAGGGGTGAGAGACAGAGAAAGGACTCGCTCGCTCGCGCGCGCTCTCCTCTCTCGCCTCGCGTCGAGACGGACGGATTACGCGGAAACAGGTGACCGCGTGCGTGCACCTTACCTTACCTACCTACCTACCTACCTACCTACCTACCTACCTACCTATCTACCTACCTACGTACGCACGTAGAGAGAAAAGGGTTTCTTTAGATTTGGTATCTCTATTTGATTAAGATTTGATTCATGAAAACAACGTGTACGAAATATTATTCGTTTGAGTAAAAATTGTATTGTCCCATTCGAGAAAACTCTATTATTCATCAACAGAAAGAACGCTATTATTTGGAATAATATCTTCCAGCCGTATAAAATATTATTCGGTTACGATAAATATGTAAAGTGAAGCGAATAATTTCATCGTGGCGGAATTATCTTTCGTTTCAAACAAACTTTGCATTTAAGACAGAGATATATATTTTCGTTGAAAAGTCTAATAATCGTACTTATTAAGCGAAACATTAGTTCCTTTGGAGCGTGCTAATGATGAAATTCGTTTGAATGCAATGAAATTCATTAAATCTGAAGAAATCGTTTTCCTCAGTGTGCGTGCCGTGCGTGCGTGTGTATACGCGCATTCTTTCTCATGTCGAACGAATCGCCATCTCGACTCGAGCACAATCGGAGCGAATTGCGAGAACGGCTAATGACGAGCCGGCGGAGGAAGTTACTCCCGCGTCTTCCCCTCTATCCCCCTTCTTCCGCCTTTTTATGCATTACAATGGTGTACTTATCACCCTATCGGTAAATTACGGTAATTACACAGTGCGCGTCCGAGGCGTCGAACACGCGCATGATGCTGATATCGCATGACGCGATTGATCTCTTTTTGCAACGCGCGACGGACGGACGCGCGCGCGATGGACGACGACGACGAGAGCGCGCGCGAGGAGAAACGTTAGAAACGCCGGCCGGCGCGCCGCTACGTAAATCGTGCACTTCGCGGAGGTCGGCCGACGGCAGCGGGGAGAAGCGGTGGGAAAAAGTGAGAAAGAGAGAACGAGCTGGCAGCTGTAAATATTTTTCGAAACGCGGCGTGAGCCGAGCCGACGTTTCACAGCGATTAACGGTACATCGACCGAACCAGTCGTACATATACATATATTTATATGTGTGTGTGTGTGTGTGTGTGTGTACGACGCGTTAAATTATGAAAGAATAAGCGATCGGTCATGCACGCGATGGAAGGGCACCGATGAAACCTCCCGGCGGCGCTTGGAATATTGAAGGAAAAGAGGAGAACACAGGAAGGATCTCTAATTATTTTTGTCTGTAACACAGACCGAGTCACGTGCGTTTCGCGCACGCGTGTCCACGCTTCACGGGGGACGACTCGTTCATTCATTCATGAGGGAAATATCAATCGCTTCGTCTGGTTTCGATTGTCCGACCGGCCTTCCTGTAACTTCCCCTCATGGAGGACCCTCCCCGGTCGTCGAGCGCGAAACTCGCCGAGCGCGTGGAGCAACGTGGATATGTTGTATGTTAAATATGTAACGCGCGTCGTAAGTCCAAATGGCGAATTCCGCGTCTCATCGGGACTTCCGTACGGCGAGTCGAGCCAGGTCGAGGCACACCGGGATTACTGGGTGGTTTTAGGCTTGACAGTGATCGGCTCGGGCCGAGGCGAGGACGAGAGAGAAAGAGAGACGGTTTCGCGCCCGGCGAAACCCGTTTCTCGATTCCCGTGCGACAACGTCTGGTTAAGTTTTCTGTGAACGTCGAACATGCACGGGTTAATAAACAGCCGTCCCACTTGCACGGACTGTCCATCCGTAACCCACTGTTTACCAAGACAACGGTACCGGCCGCGCGCCGGATTAAGGTTTATCCAACGGTTACCTATCGACAAATTTGATGCCGGGGCCCCGGGAGTAGCACGGGAAAGGGGAACGCGAGAACGTGCGCCGCTAAACTCCACAAATCCGACCTATTTTCCTCGCCACCGATTTCACATCGCGTGCAATGCATTCTCGATCGATTCGCCCGATCGATACGGCCCGCCCTAACGATCTCTCTCTCTCTCTCTCTCTCTCTTTCTCTTTGTGTGTGTGTGTGTGTGTCTCGATTTTGGATAAACGTAGGCCTTATTTTGTCTGCTACCTTATTGGTTATATCTTTAGGAATCGGAAACCTGCGTTATCGCTTAATCGGAATAATTTAGAACTACCTGGGAAAAAAGATCATATATAAAATTTGCCCATATATGTATATAATCATATATGTCCACAATGAAAAAAACACTGTTGTTTACAAATTATATGCAAATACAATCGAAATAAATATTTCTTGCTACTTGCGCTCCCATATCGGCATTTAATTAAATGACGTAACATCATTCTTTTTTACGTAGACACATATGATCATATATATAAGCCACATATATAAGCAAAATTCATATATGATTTTATATAATTATATATCATCATGTATAATCATTTTTTCCCTGAGTAATATTTCCGCAAGTAAGATCAGAGCGCTTCTGCTCATCGTTCCTACATCCCGTATAATTCACAATGTTCAAAAGACATCCCAGAGACCTTGGAATATCTTTAGGACATGCCTGGGATGTCTTTTGACTATTCGGGCTATATTGGCTGTCATATCGAAACGTACGAGCGTTCCTTTACAGCTGTATCCACTATATCGTGGAACGTTGTTCGCGAAGATTCATTCGCGGTGCTCGAGTAGTCAGCATGCCCTTGCAACGAAATTGTACGAATGTATCATGGAGGGTGGTTGCCAATGACGATATTCTGCCGACGATCGAACTGTTACTTCGAGAATAATGAATAATGATCTCCGACATACACGATGCACTTACGTGAGCTCATTTTGCTCCCCGGTAGGAGCTCAGTTGTCCCAGAATTGCCTAATAAATGCCGATCATCGTGTCGACGATACGAGACGGCCTTTGACGGCGGCGCGCTATCCCGACAAAAACACGATAACGATCTATCACGGGGAGGAGGGAGGAAAAAACGGAGAAACGGTAGGGAGGTGGAGGAGAGCTCGTCGTCGGTATATACTTCGTCTGCGAAGAAATTCTCAGGTGCGTGAGAGATTCTCCAGTCAGTGGTATGGCAGAGAGGTGTCACGCTCGGCTGAGCTAACACGACATTCCAGATTACGTAGCTGGAATCGTTGCTCCGGAGGGAGCATCGGCCTGAGACGTCTCTGGCGTAATCGCCGGCTCTTCCAGGCCCGCTAACGCGACGAATCTGCATTATAATAGGAAATGCGTGTTCGTCCGACTGATACGCGATGGTGCGCTCATCGTATGGAGCTGTGGAAGCACTCGAGACACCGTATAAACGCGAAATGGCGGGACCACCGGTGCTATTTCGCGGCGCGTCCTCTCGCGTCCCTCGCGCGCTCCGATCGAGCTTAAACATCTCCCGGTGAGAAACAACAGCTCGGAAAGGCGTCTATCAGACACCTGTGCCGTCTACGGTCGATATTAATATTTAAGACGTATTTATGATATTAGGGATTCATTTAAGCGCTTTTCAACCACTTTCCAACTAATCGGACACTCTTCTTCTATCGAGCACAGGGATGTATTTGTTGCACATTTGTAACTTCCATCATGATTGACGTCATTGTTATCATCTCTTATCCGCGTGGTCCCCAGTGAATATGTGATGTTAGAGGAAGATTCGGTGCACAATTTTACTTAATTAAGATTGATACCCGGGAAGAAAAGATCATGTATGAAATCTTCCGATATATGATTATATATAATCATATATGTCCACAATGAAAAAAATATTGTTGTTTACGAATAATATGCCAATACAATCGAAGTAAATGGCTTCTGGTTACTTTTTGTACTTCTGACAGCATACGATATCGACATTTACGTTCTGTAAAAAATTCAAATAAACGTTTTATGGACGTTTAAATGAACATCTTACAGACGTCTAAACCAAATGACACAAAAGCCGTCTGATGAATCAAATTTTCGACGTTTACATCAACCGGTATTTCAGACGTCAATTCTACGTCTTTTCAACCAATCATTTCTCACCGGGCTGGCGCCATAACTGCGTTGTAATTACGATCTGTTCTATTCTCATCGTCACCTCCTCGACTACTCGGAAACAATCTCCCCTCTCTTGAAGCTCGGAGACAAATAGCGGACGCAACCTCTTTGTACAATTGTGCAATGTTTAATATTAATTGCTCAGACCTTCCAGCCTCAGTTAATTTTAACGTTAGCCCTAGACCATTCTGTATGGTTCCGCTATTTCGTCAAACCGTGTACCATTAGTGTCCAATTAGTCTCATGTGAATTCCGTTACAAGAATGTGTAATTTCACACGTCATGTCTCGCTATTTTGTGATTCCTATTCCTCATCGATTGGCAAATTGAAATAAGTATTATCAGCGATACCTCGCTGATACTAGAGATTTCACTTTTATTTATAGACGTAAGACGTAACTAAGCACTACAGCCTGAAAGAAAAATACAAAGCAAAAAGTAAAAAGGTAGAAAAAAAGATACAAAATAATCTTAATTAACCTTACGAGACAGAGGTATACAGGTCCGTGTTCTGAACTCTTTTCTTATCGATAAAAGTACCTCAAATGTGGCTCCTCAGCCAATCGGCAGATTTCTGAGCCACTTTTCGGAGGCACTTTTATCAACGTTTTTGGTACTTTCTTTTCTAAAAAGACCCGTAAATAATAATAATAATAATAAAATTGGCACAGCATAATTCAGTGGCCGAAAAGTCGAGGAGGAAAAAAGCGAATCACGATATCGACGGCCGTCGTCTCGATGGGAGAAACCATTCAATAATCGCGAACGTCGCTGCGCATTTATCGAGCTCGTCATATGTGTGTGTGTGTGTGTGTGTGCATGTCACCGCGTCTCGCGGAACTGTTTCCGAAGACAAATCTGGCGATATCTCAATAATGTATCTCCGCGCGGCTAAGGTCTACTGTTAGTAAAGCGATACTTCTCAGGAGAACGGAGGACACCGCCGTTAGCATCGAGCGCGCGAAACTTGGCGAATATTCCTCGGCACGTATATACCGGAACGTACCACTTTTCGACACATAACAGTAGTATATGCGGCACGAGTATAGGACGGTCTCTCTTCTCTTTCTCTCTCTCTCTCTCTTCCTCTCATAGAAAGACGAAAGACATAACGGTCTACTCGCTGTGTTGTCCGTGTTACGAATACCGCGCGGCGGCGCGCACTCGCTCGCCGTCCAAAATCTCATTGAGTTCCCAGGAAAAAAATGATTATATATGATTATACATAATTATATAAAATCATACATGAATTTTGCTCGTATATGTGGTCACACATATGATCATATACATATATATATATATATATATATATATATATATGTCTATGCGAAAAAAACTAATGTTATATCATCCCAAGAAAAATGATTATATATGATTATATGTAATTGTATAAAATTATGTATGAATTTTTTGCCCATATATATAGTTACATATATAATTATATATATCTATACGAAAAAAAGAAAAATTATGCTTTGTCATCTAATTAAATGTCACGTGCTGTCAAAGGCACAAGTAGCCGGAAGTATTTACTTCGATTGTACTTGCATATAATTTATAAACAACAGTATTTCTTCGTTGCGGACACGCATGATTATATATAGTCATATATGGGCAAATTTTATATATATGATCTTTTTTCCCCAGGTTGTGTATCGGCGGATCTAAAACCGCCGTGCTATTTTACATTCGCATGTTCTCGAATTCAAGAGACACGCGCGCGTCTCTTTTCCTGCGCGGGCGAGCGCGCGCGCGTGTGTGTACGTATGTGTGTGTCGCTTTTCTCTCTTCTCTGACGTTCTTCGCACGTCGTGTGTCCCACAGGCGAGAGACGACTATGAATCGACCGAGATCATCATCCGGAATACCAGGCAACGAGGTCATCCTGTAAGGATAAACGAAGTCCCGGTTGGTGGTTCGGATCCGCGCTTCTCCCTCTGTACATTCGCCGCTGAGCGATGTCGAAGCGATAAAGCGGTGATAAACCACGTTGTAAACCGTGTATTTTGCATGTATCGCGGTAGTCTTAAACAGTCGTCGGCGCCGCCGCGGTTAAAAGCCGTGGTATTTGCGCGCCACATCCTCCTCGAGACTAATTCGTACGGAGGAGAAGCATGTTTCGCAAAGTGTCTCCGTCGAGAAGTACATTTTCATTTGTATCGATCACTTGAAGCGAAAGCTCGCTGCGACGATATTTTTTTCTCTTTTTCACGTGTAACATTCTCGTTCGGAAAAAACGACCTGAATGATGCTTTTGACAGAATCATCAAATTTTCGATTTTTCGTGCGATTTTTTTAAAGAAACGAAGTAAAACCCCGAGAAAAAATGATTATGTATGATTATATATAATTATATAAAATATGTGAATGTGTAGTGTCGCAGTGACCACGTGCCGACTTCAAATAAAAGTTGAGAAGAGCTCGAGAGTCGTCTTGAGAATATCTGATTGCGAAGACGAAAGGCCGGCATGTCGGTGGACGAAGTGGTTCAAAACAATAATAACGGAAATGAAGATAAAATCGAACTATTACGGGAGACCCGATTTGTCAGCGGAAGCAAGTACGAAGGAACGTGGAACGCGATTGACAAGGAAGGCATTGGCAGATATGTGACACCTAACCGTTAGTCATAAATTTAAATTCTTTTTACATGTAAACTTTCGCAGATATAATGTATATTATCAAGATAAAGTATGTACCCATGGACATTCTGTGGACGTCTTTAAGACATCGGGACATCCTCAGTCCCTAGAAAATCTGTGCTGTCTGGGGTATATTTAGTAGAAATCGATGTTATTTCACGTTTCTTTCAGAAGTTATATTGGAAGGGGAGTTTCGAGATGGTATGCTTCACGGCCATGGAAGCATATATTGGCCACGTGCGCAAGTAATGGACGGTGTGTGGAACCGTGGGAAAATGGAAGAAAAGAAACGTTATATATTCGCGGATGGTTTAACGTATCAGGAAAATGAATGGAATTATTGCATATTTCCTGACAGACGGTTAGTCCGTCCTTTATAATCGATCGTTGACATGAAACTCCGATCTTTGACAAAAAGACAAATATATAAAAATAAATCCTAGTTATTTTTTTACAATTTATATTTATCTTTTTTTTGTAAAAGAAAGTAAAAATCCGTTTTTTGTAAAAGAAAGTAATAATCGCAGAATTACGTATTTTAATATACTTTCCGGTAAAAAATCTTTTTCATATATAATCATATATAAAATTATACAGAAATATATAAAATTATATACAAATCCGTGTATGATTATATATAATTTTACACGACTCTATATATAATTATGTATGATGTTGCATGATTCCTTTAAATAAATCCCTGGGAAAAAATATGCATATATAATCATATAAAATGATATATAATTATATTTGATTTTTTATATATGAATTGTGTAGCTACATATACAGGGTGTCTGATATCACTCGTACAAAGGCTTATGTGCAAATAGAAGGTATTAAACTAAAGAAAAGTCATCTACTATTTTGCAAACAACCACGCAAAATTTCGAATTATTAATTATTGAAAATCGTATATAGAAGTTTCTTTAGTTAATAACTGAAAAATTTTAATGAAAATTAAAGATAATAAAATAATGAAAAATTCAGCGGAGACAGACGAATTTACAACCAGGATAATTATTAGATTATTAATTATAAGAACATTTTAGATTTTACAAGTGCGTGGTAAACGGATTGAGACCAGCCGGGAAAGTATTAAAAACCAACGATCAACCGACGAAAATTATTCCTCCGTTCTGCTATGATACCGGTGCTGGGATCTTCGACCCCAACGAAGGATGTATATTATCATATCGCAAATGCAAAAAAGTAAGAATTAACATTAATAATGCAAATGTTACATTAATATCTATCCTTAAAAATAATTCACACAGCATATCTTATTTTCTCTGGATGTCTCTCGAACATCTCTGTGCCGATGGAAGTAGCATAGTAATAATACATACAAATTACAGATACTCAGTATTCCAACAACGATAGAAAGTATATGGATAATGGAATATTGCCGGAAAGATTGGTCAGCTCCAATTGGTCACCATTGGTGGTTCTACGAATACTTTCAATCGGGAGCAGCGGATTTTGCAACCTTACCGCCGGAGGACGAGACGGAAAATTGGTGGCGAAGGTTCGATCGTTGTAAAAAACGAGATTTCCGTTAAAAATACGTTGGATCGTTCTCTTTCGCGCTACAGTTATGTATTCAACGGTAAAAATACTTGATGGAAATAATAACATTATTTAAGACTGACCAGCTTCGCCAAGCATTCGCCCGCTGACATGACGAAACGAGCAAGATTGTGTCGTTAAGGGATTCAATCAAAAGGTCGTAAGGAAGAAAATATATATTAAGATCTGAAATAACATGTAACAGACGATGGTAGAAAATCTCTCACAATTTACAAAAGGTATGTAAATGATGTAAAATTGCTATTCGCTGTAAACAAGTGTATACATTAAATGTATACTTTAAGGCAATATCTAATAAACAATATACACGTATGCGCATATATACGAGCGGTACGTTCTCTCTTTTTCTCTCGCTTTTTTTCATATATATAATAAAATCTACAATTCTTATTGAATAACGAGTTCTCTTTTTTCGGACACGATCGTGGGCGCATCGGCGTTTCGATGCACATTGAACACCACGGACAGCTTCATCGGCAAACACGTGTCCGCCGTGCAGGCTATTATGTTTAACGCGACGCTGAATTTACTGCGCGCTTCACCCTCCGGTAACCTCACCGACACGGGAGTCGGTAGTCTACCTGTCAAAGCGTCAGCTGTCCCCACATTCGCAGGCAAGGATACGGCCCATCCTTGCGGTGCGTCCACATTTAACTTCATTCCATTCAAGAATACAACGTCGAATGAGATACTCAATTCGCCACCGCGCGTACTGATCGTCGTGTCGAACGTGAATGTATTGTTGGTGTTTCTGTTGGAATCGCGTCTGAATGAGATAGCCATCTGGAATGCGAAGAAATCGACACATTTAACACATTAATATATTAAACATATTAATATAAAAACATAATCTACAATATTAATTTTATACGTGTTCAATTTTACGTGCATAACATATATGTAAATATATGTGGTAAATAAAGGTAAATCGTTTTTTTTTTTGGGAGTAATTCTTAAAGACTAAAATACACACTCACGGTTGAGATTTTTTTGCTCTTCAAATCGATAACCTTAAGAGCGTGATTATTGGTATCGGCTACATAAAGAACGTTACCGTCTGGATTAACAGCAAGACCACTCGGCTCATTGAACTGAAACATTAATATTAATGACGTCGCCCAAGCGAAGTCGTCGTGATCCGGTCGTCTCGAGAGAAACAGCGACACTTACGAAGAACGCGCTGTCGGGCTTCCCGTCGCCGAACAACGTTTTGCAACATCCCGTTGCCGCGTCCACGCTCTTAATTTTATGATTGTAAGTGTCGGCTACGTAAATCTGCTTCTCCAAATGATCCCATGCTATTCCCAGTGGATGCTGGAGCTTGGCCGAGTATTCTTTCCCATCCACATCACCGAAAGCGTGTAGATTCTACGCGATACACGAATTGAATCTGATGATTTGACTTCTGATGAGAAATCTCGCGTGTACGAATAAATGCAAGTCGATCGATCGGAAACTTTCGGAAGTATTTGTTGTCGAACGAACCGTTGGATTTTTATCGCCTCCGCAGACAGCGGACACGCGACCGCTGTCCAAATGCAACCGTCTGATAGCGCTGCTCTCGCTGTCCGCTATAAACGCAGCTTTGCATTCCTGAACGACCACGATACCGGAAGGTTGCGCCAGCCCGGCGGCATGAGGATAACTGTTGTTACGATTTTCCTCTCGGCCGCTTCCAACGATGGCGATACAAGTGCCTGCCGTATACCTTCTGAAATAGAAGAGTTTCGATTCGAGAACATTCTTTTTTTTTTTCAACGAGTATTGCGTAATTTATATTCGAAGCAATGTGTGTGTATGCGTATATAAATATCGTTCGAAACTCTCGAGTTATTAATTACCTATAATATCATTTAACATTAAGCAATATTTCTGGAATATTAATAGATTGTTATATGTTCACTCTCTAATATTTAAAAAATATTATTTAATGTTGTTATAATATTTTTCTTCAATATTCAATTCTATATATATATATATATATATGAATGAAAAAATTAGTGCATAAAACTATTGAATCGCGCGTTACGAATGTGCAAGATTTTTAAGAGTCGCGTTCAATCGATCGACGTGAATGAGAAATCTTACTTTTCCTTCCACCAAATAGTGTCTTTCAAGAACAGAGCCCAGATTTGATGACTACCCGCTATCGCGATTAACAGGACCGGAACGACGGTGTTCTCATATTCGTGATGATAGATCGCCACGTCCCAAGGGGACGATAAATCTTGATCGGTGCCGTTTCTTCCGCCGCAATGATCGTGGCTCTGCGAACCGGTACCAGCTACGGTGGATACACTCCTCTCGCTTAAGTTTATCTAAAAAAGGAATTACCATCGAGAATAAAACGCGGAAGAAACGTGTACGAAGTGTAAGAATGAAAAAAAAATCAAGAATAACGCATCTCCTTACTTTCCTGATAGCGTGATTATTGTTATCTGCGATGTAGATCACATCGTCGAGCGCACAGACACCTTGAGGTGAATTGAATTTAGCGCTCTTAAAATCACCGTCTTGGAAACCCAGGCTGGCACCACCTATGATATGCTCCACTTTCCCGTGTTCATTAGTAATCATAATTCTATTGTTACCGCTGTCTGATATAACGAGCTTTGTTCCCCGCTCGGAGGAGAGAACAGCTAATTTGCCAGGAAACAGCAGACCGTCTTCGGGAGAAGATAAGAGATGAAATGCTGGCTTCAATGGAAGACTGTGATTCGATATCTGATTTAAGGACTTGAAGTACGCTATCATTACTTTCGCGTACAACAGAATCTCATCTTTGTGATCTTCGCCGACGAAAACTGCCAGTGGCTGACCGTTGGGTCCTGAAACAAATTTCAAAGTGATCAAAGATCTCACAGGTATGAATCGCCGAGAGACCACAAACGGCAGACCAAAAAGGTAGGGGGGGAATTTACTGTTCTGTTTACCTAACATGACAAGACTAGGCCAGCATATTATGCCCATGTCATTCCACATCCTTAGCGTGACATCATTCACCACAGGATGCATGATATTGTATCTCTGTACTGCTGATAAGACATTCTTTGAGTCACGTTCGTTCGTAAATTTCGCACTGTGAACTCCAATCTGAAGGAGAAATTGTAACCATAGAACTTAAAATACCTGTGTAACTTCTTGCTGAAACACTTTGTACTTACTACAACAAGACCATCCTCTACAGAAAATTGCTTTTCAATCTCTTCTAGTTCAGCCAAAACATGCATGCAGTTGATGCAGCAATATGTGAAGAAGTCCAGAAGCACAATTTTGCCTTTCAGATGCTGAGCCAACGACAATCCTTTCGATACGTTAAACCATTCCAGTCCTACAATACAATGAGACTGCAAGATACATCACGGCTAATGCAAGCAACTGTATTATTATGATTTTTGCTTTGCCTTATTGCTTACCGCAAGATAAAAAAAATTATTTGTCTCTTTGTAACTGAATAACGTTAACAGGTAATAAAAAAACATACGTGCAAAGTAATTTTCAAACAAAATTACCCAAATGATAAAATTACCTTTCTGAAATTCAGGAATGTCTGCTCCGTTGTTTTCGAATCGTTTGATGTGTTTCAGAATAACCGCCTCCTTGTCCTTCTGCTCGGAAAATTTATTCAAATGACTGCGCATTTTCATGCAAATTTGTGTCAGTTCTTCAATCGTTTCTTGGGTATCCATTTTTGTACTCACGAGTCCACACATAGGAGAAATAGCATGTATAGCTATAAAAATACAGTCTAAAATTTTGCACAATTCTCCGAACAGTTACAAACGCTCGTTGCACACGAATGTAAGATTAATTCAGGATGTTACACTTCCTCGAACGAGTGCATTCGAGCGATCGGTACCGTTCAGTATTCAGTATTCTACTGCCGGTATTCATAGTCGAATTTTATATTTGAACCGTCTTAAATTCATCTACAAATGCCGTACGACTCATTTCATTGGCTGCGAAGCATCTGAAGAGAAATTTAAGACAGTTTAAGAATCACAAGAATTAGTAATTAGATAAAATAGTAGATAAAGCAGAAACTATCGACAACCAGCGCGACTTCCGATTGGCTGCTGCCTTTCAAATTGTGAATCTACATTTGACTGATATCGCCGGTTATTTATTGGTTATCGGATAGAGAATTTCTAAAGTGTCTAGGGAAAATATTAAGGACACTATATATTCCCTATCCGACAGCCAATCGACACATCCGACTAACTCGAATGGACGACGAGCGACGTCCAATGAGAGCTCTTCTTTTTAAGAAAATTAGAGTTCTTATTGGAGCTCTTATCGCTCGTCGCGTTTAGTCAGGTTTACACACACATGTAATACTAGCTTAACATAAGAATCCCGTATATACGCTTCATACGCTTCAATGTGTATGTAATGTCTTGATAGTGCAGTCAATTCAACTCTAAAGAACGAACCTAAAGAATGCAAAAATCTCGGCGATAATTCACTGTTATCTTTGTAATTTTGTCGGGATTTTGTGGTATCAGCTTGACTCCTCTGCATTGCTGGGGAAAAATGTACTTACTTATGTATTATTCGATGTTGTCATATTTTTAAGAATTTAATTGTAAATAACGTGCAATACATTCATAGCGATTTTGTGGTTAGAAAGCAGCGGTTCCTTGTGTATATAATTGTATAGGAAGGTTCAGAGAGAGAAAGAAAGAGAGATGTATTTTAATCTTACTCAACGGTTAACACGGACTTTCGTTAGACGAATATGCACCGGTGTGTCACGAAATTTAATGAAGGAACATTCTGACAGCACGTTCGAAAAGAAACTGCGCTCCACAGTCTTTTATTGGACCGGACTCGGAGTTTTAGTTGTTGGGTTGAGTTATGCCGCAGTGCCTTTGTACAGAATATTCTGCCAGGTATTGCAATTGTACAGAGAGCAATACATCAATGTCAAACTTATGATCTTGTTTATTCAAAAAAAAAAAAAAAACAGCTATACTTTATTATTAATATATCCATACAATGTCTATATGTTTTTTTTTTATTGCGCAGGCATATAGTTATGGTGGAACAATAACAACCGGTCATGATGCTAGCAAAGTCAGCACAATGTTACCTGTCAAAAATAGAAAGATAAAAGTTAAATTTACTGCAGATACTGCTCTGTCGATGCAATGGAATTTCAAGCCACAACAGTTAGAGATGACGATCGTTCCCGGAGAAACTGCTTTAGCATTTTACACAGCTACAAATCCAACGGACAAACAAGTCATAGGGATATCCACCTACAATGTTTTACCTTTTGAAGTGGGACAGTACTTCAATAAGATACAATGCTTTTGTTTCGAAGAACAAATGCTAAGTCCTCATGAGCAGGTATGTTTTTATCGGCGTCTTGTCAATACTAAATAACATGACAGTATAACTTTTATATATTTAACAGATAACAGAATTGTTGCTCTGGATATTGAATTTTATTTTCATTGTATAAATTGTACATATCACGCACGCAAACAAATCTGCAGTTAGATTAAACGACACAACAAATAATACTTCTTGTATTTTAAGGTCGACATGCCGGTATTCTTTTATATTGACCCAGAATTCACGGAAGACCCGAAGATGGAATTTATCGACGACATAATCCTCTCTTACACGTTTTTTGAGGCTAAACCAGGACTCGAACTGCCTGTGCCAAGTTACGCGAAAAGTCACTCGACATAGTAAAACGTAAATATGTCTCTAATAGTTACTCTATAATTGTACAAACAAATAAATATTTAATTATTTTTTTTCAAATGCTTCACATACATGGAAATATCACGTAACCTAGATTCCTCTAGGAGTGTATTCCAAATGGCAGAGTTATTCATATACACGTAAATGGCAGTATTCCTATAAATATTCAGAGTAACGTAGCACTATTAAGATTAAGTATCTATTAACATAAGAATAAAATATGCACGTCTAAGATCGTATAGATTTCCCCTCCATACAATCTAACTTCTAAAAGTGTATTCCATAACGTTGTTCAACATTCTTGTAAATATAAATGGCAGTATTCGCATATATATATAAATATATATATATATATATATATATATATGTGTGTATATATTTATGATGTTAACAAAATTATATTTATATATATGCCTTTAAAATCTAAACAGTGCATTAACGGGATACGCGCGTCTGAGACCGCAGACCTTCTCCCTGTCGATATATATCGCATCGATTTTAAGCGCGAGGTCGTGCTCCAACATTGTCCGAGTTCTCAGCAATTTCTGATGCTGATTCTCAAGTTCCTTCAACGTCTTGTGCATCCGCTCGAGTTGATGATTTATTTCGTCGATCTCCTTCTGAAGGCTGCGAAAGGGAAGTACGACAATATTTCACAACGGGAAAAATATCCCGAAAGTCTCCGTTCATTCCGCGGACATATCCGCGTGTTGGAGACACGTTAATACCCACCTCGCATACGCGTAATCGCGGCACAGCTCCATGTCGGGCCGATGCATTCTCGCCTCCATCCTCGTGTGTGCGACTTTAGTCGCGTAACTTTTATCCGCGATGGCTTTACGCATCAATTCCAAGTTCTTCTCTACGTCGTATATCTCTTGCTGCACCTGCAACGTACGACGAGCCGCGTTTAAGTGTGAATAATCGTGTGAATGTCGAACGCACATCTGCGTTACCTTTTGCAGGTGTTGTTGAAGCTTGCTCTTGGCCTCAAGTAATTCGGATGATCTGTGTGCTAACGCGCTGTTGGTGCTGCTCCAACTGTTCCACATTTCCTGAGAAACCTTATTGACGAGATTCTCGGCAGTGGTGCGCAATTGGCACGACTTGTTGCGCTCCGTCTGGGATCTCTGTACTATTTTATTCGCCGCGTCCGCCCAAGTTTCCTGTTCCGAGACACTGACAAACAACAACAACAACAACGTTATTTGTGTTACCGTTACCGAAATTATTCGCAATCAATCGCTATCGTCCAGATACCACGGATCGTATTTTTCGACTCCCGAATAATACTGCAACCCATGACTCTGATTGTGCAAATGATGGCAAACTGTGTCTATGCCCAACGCGCTCTCCTTGTTCTTCAAGTCCAACTCCAGTTGATTCTGCGAGGCCCTGCAATTTCGTAACTGCAAGCACACAGTTATATCGATTAAATTAATTTGCGCTAATCAGTCGTACGCGGGGAAAATACCATGGTGTAAAATTCACACACCTGGTCTTTACATCTGTCCAAGCAGGCCTCCAGTTTCTTTTGATTTGCCCGCAAATTTTCCACCTCGCGCAGCAAACACTTTTCCGAGTCGTCGTGTACTAATTCCGTGCCTGAAGAAACGTGCATAATAATAAAGTAGATTTCGTAATGAACCTACGCTTATAGGGACATACTTTTTCTAGCTTCTCTGTGGTAGAGGCACTCCTCGGCGATGTGTAAAGGTCCCTCGATATCCCGTATCGCCTTTTCCAAGACACCCCGGCAATCCTGAAGCCTCTCGATCTCGTGGAGCATCCTCTCCAGCTCCGACGCCACTTCATTACGCCAGAAAGTAACGTCACTGATCCTCTCACCGAGTCTCCTATTGGTATCGTACTGGCCATGCTGTATCTTCTCCTCGGCATCTCTGAGAGATTTTATACACGTAAACGTCACGTTTATTGAAAATATCAAAAAGAACACAAGAAACCATCGTACCTGATGATTCTCAGAGCGTCACCTCGCATCCTTTCAGAATAATGTCTCTGCGAGTCCGCCTCATTGTAATATTTCACTTGCTTCTGGAACCACTCGTGCGGCGTGTACCTCGTATAAAGGGCGGCTTGTGACGCGTGAACGGGATTACGTTGATAGCCCGTTATCAGGTTCGGAAATTTTAACGGTCGTGTGGCCATCTTACCGCTTGTGTCCAGCGCATAATTCGATATCGACCTAGGAGCCCTGCAAGGATGTAATGTAATAATCATAGACTTCGGCCTGCACGTTCATTATCCTGACATGCGTGCTAAGGGCATACTCGACGCGGGAGGGAGATAAAAATCTCTGCAAAATCCGGCAGAGATGTATATGGGGAGTAGCATACACTAAGTTTGTTGGATCAATATTGTTCTATATATCTGTGAAAGGATCAAACAAGAGGAGCTACATCTGTGGCTTTATATCGTGGATATGGCCAATGAAGAAATAAATGAATCTTAACTAATTGGGAAGAATTAAAAATGCAAGAAAAAAAAGTCGAGTCCGTGTACTCACAAGGGAATAACTTCTGTATTTTCAAATCCTACGTTCGGTCTCCAAGGTAGTAAGCTGTGCGTACGGGTGTAATCACCTATACGAATTGGGACTATCGGTTCCATGTAAGGCATCGAGGCTCCAACTGTATTCCATGGTTGCAGTTGCTAGAAATTAAAATGTGTACACACAAAAAATATTTCTCGTACTTCGTACCTCTTTGTTTTTGCTCAAAAAATTGATTATATAAATTAAATATAAATACTATTATTATATAATGAATGATTGTTACACTGTTAACATATTATTGGAACTAAAGAATTATGTAAACATTTATTATGATGATTATTTTATCATTTTAAATAAGGAGAATAATAATGATAAAAAAGTGAATAATTTTTGTTACACTGTTAACATATTATTGGCATTAAAAAATTATGTAAACATTTATTATGATAATTATTTTATCATTTTAAATAAGGAGAACAATAATTATAAAAAGTGAATAATTTTTACTGAATGAAAAGTTATATTCTCCAATTTTTATTAATTAGCTGAATTATCATCGAGAGCCTATACATATACAAATTTTTTGATGTGTCATTAGAAAAGTTTATGATCCAACATGGCAGATATACCTAAAGAAGCTCCTGAACGTAAATATATGATATCTAATTTTAATAAGTTTTAAGCATAGATTAGATCACATCAAGATTTATCTTACATTTTATTGAAATTACATGTTCATTAATATATGATTTGCGCTGTGTTATTGCTTGCTTACGAGACTTTAAATGTCAAAATATTCAAGATTAGGTTAAGTATCTTTTCTTCCTCAAGTATCTTCTCTACCTCATGTCTAAAATATTTCACTTTTGATACTTTCCTTTGCAATATTATACGTTAAAAAATATAATTTAAATATAGTAGTGAGAAATACTGATATTGTAGATATATATTTTCTAAATTATTATGTGATCTAAGGCGGTTATATATTACGTGATAAAAATCCATTGTATATTTGTACTTCATTTTTAGGTGACGTTATAATTCTAAAAGATTCGTAAAATGTTTTTTCAGATTGTCCCGGAACTCAGAGTGAAAGTGCCGGCAAAGCTTCAGCGTGTGCGGGCTGTCCGAATCAGTCGCTATGTTCATCCGGAGCAACTAGACAACCAGATCCTGGCATAGCGCTTGTAAAAGAAAGACTTTCCTCGGTACAGAACAAGCTTCTGGTGCTTTCGGGCAAGGGAGGAGTGGGCAAGAGTACAGTGACATCATTGATATCTAGGTACCTGGCAGCGAGTAATCTCGACAAAAATGTAAGTACAGTAGGCTTGTACAAATTATATCTTAAATATCAAGCATAGAAGTAGCATATGCTTCCCTCACATCTCATTTCAAACTAATACAGAATCAATTTCCACATTTTGTATCTAATTTTCTCCAATTGTGTTTACACATATATTTTATTAGTTACATGTGATTAACGTAAATATGTGACAGAATCAACAACAAAACATTGTACTGACTCACCCTCCTGCCCATTCCCAGGACATCCATGTGATTTTCAATGTACATGTTAGCATGATGAATTCTACCAGTCAGTTTCCAGAAAATAACCTCAGACTCAGGAGATATCTATAGTTAACTGGAATACCTATGTATGTTGTGTCAACCTGTGCCAGTCCCTTATTGATTCTCAGACTCTTCATGTTCTCATTAGTATTTTAAACAGACACAAAGTTTATGCCGATATATTAAAATACAATTGAGACAATTTGCAATTTTTAATTATTTCTCATAAGTTTAGAATTTCATCGTAATATCTTACGCAGGTTGGAATATTGGACATTGACATTTGCGGACCATCGCAGCCAAGAGTGCTGGGAGCGCTTGGCGAACAAATACATCAGAGTGGATCTGGTTGGTCACCTGTAGTGAGTGAATTTATTGTAAAACGGAATATGCTGATGGAAAATTCACGTCAATTTACGCTTATTCGCTCTGTCACGTTTCTCCGTTTATATACATGTTAATAAGTGACATTATTTGTAGTACATCGAGGATAACTTGTCGCTGATGTCGATTGGATTTCTACTTGGTAGTCCAAGCGATGCGGTCATATGGAGGGGACCGAAGAAGAATGGTAAGATTTGCACTTAAAACTCCTTTATTCCTTATCCGCAATGTTTATTACATACCACAATTATTCGCTATATGAAAATGCGCACATATTCACATATGCTGCACACACACAGGTATGATCAGACAATTCTTGTCGGAAGTCGATTGGGGTAGTTTAGATTATCTTATATTGGATACACCACCCGGCACGTCCGATGAGCATTTGTCGGCCACATCGTACCTTAAGGGAACCGGCATTACGGGTGCCATAATTGTGACAACACCGCCGCAAGTTGCCCTTTTAGACGTAAGGAAGGAAATAGATTTCTGCAGGAAAGTGAACATTCCAATCCTGGGGGTGGTTGAAAATATGAGCGTCTTCGTGTGTCCCAAATGCAAGGTGGGAGCAATAGCGAATTGAATGATGTTGAAGAAACGCAGGTGAATGTGTGAAACTAATGAGACATTTTGCGCGTTACTCCGCAGAACACTGCGGAAATATTCCCAGCTTCGACAGGTGGCGCAGAGACGATGTCGAAGGAGCTGAACGTGGAGTTTTTGGGCTCGATTCCTTTGGACCCGTTGCTGGCCAGATGTTGCGACGAGGGTAAAAACTTTCTCACGGAGATGCCAAATTCACCGACTGTTAGTGCTTTAAATGATATTTGCAATCGTAAGATATCTTAATCTATTTCATTATGAAACATTATTTTCACGAAATGTCTCTACAAATGACAAGATCAAGGGAACTACGATTATTCTTTTCAGGTATTATTCAAAAGTGTGAAGAGGAGAAGGAGAACTGCCCAAATAATTTCGCATAAAATACGTAAACATATTTTCTGTGTAAAACTCCACATATAGTGCCCTTATTGTTATTATTATTACTAAAGCCTACTTCAATTTTTAGAATGTACAAAACTGATTTATGTTAATTTGCAGCATATATACAAAATATAAATCATCGGATATGATACAGTTATATCCTTATCATATTTTTGTTATATATATATATATCCTTTATCATATACTTGTTGCAACTGGCTGTATATTATCAAATTTTGTCTCTATTACTCTTCGAACAATTAAGAATTATATAATAATAAAATTTTGAATTGGCGTTAAATAGGCTCAATTAGCTTTTACCAGGTTTTTACGAATTTTTAACTGGATTCTCATCATTTCACAGTATTATTCCGGTAGTTCCAAAGTCTCCGCCACTCTTCTTAATGAAGATTCAAGGTTGTAGTACGCCTAAAACGAATTAAACGTTACTTTTTATTTTCAATTTTAAATCAGCAATATGTAATACTACTGTGGTAAAAAAATATCGGGAATGGTTCATTTAAACTGCGCGCGTGCAAGATGACGCTGTTTTTTTTCCCAGGTTGGCACGACTTTCATCGACATCTAGCTGCGATCCGAATGTGTCTCTTTTCGTGTGCAAATAAACGCTTGTTTTGTATGTAAAGAATTTTTGCATTCCCGATACTTTTCGATCACAGTAGTATATTTGCTTCCTGTATCGTATATAAGCTAAGAACATACTGGAAATGTCGCCTCGAACTACCTCCATTATTTTTGCGATAATCATACGTCCGTTGAATTTTCTCCTCGTGATCAAGCGAAATAATCTTTTAATTTTCGTACACATAATATATATATATATATACAATTTCATAATTCACAATATAATAATTTATTAATATATGATTGCATATTTCGCGATTAACCACGCTCTCCCTGTCATTGGGAAAATAAAAAACCATGGATTTCTCGATTTGTTTTTAAATCGAGATTCGAGTTAAAAATTTCTAGGGAAAAGTGACAGATCAAGTGGGGATTATTTCTGCGCGGCTATATTGGAATAATTCCCGTCTCACTGGGCAATCCCCCGCTCGTAGCTAACTTCACGTACTTAAATAGGTTATTTGATGTCTGTCAAGTTTCTTCTTTAGAAAATTTATTACTTCGAGCGTAGGGAAGCGGCTTCGTGGCGTCGCAAGGAACGATTTTTATTCGCGTTACCACTCGGAAGTCAAATGACTAATTGGCGAAAAATGCGGTGGTAGTGATGCGCCTAAAGGGGAAAAACAATACAAAGTCGTTCCACAGTGTCTATAGGGTGCTTTCTCGTCTATGTCGTAAGTGTCTTAAGTGTCACGCCAGGCGTGTATACTCCGATAATTAAGCTGCTAATTGAATAAAATTGTCGAAGACGGAAGAAGCGTTCTATTAATACGACCGTTGAAATGCCGGCGATGAACGAAATTGCCCACACATCCCGTTTCATCCGGTGTGGCCCTTGATAATTCGAAAGTTCATGTTTCAGAGTTAAATTTGTCAGAATTGTCAGAAAATTGCAGCAACTGATGTATTTAAAATATTCATATTTTGAAGTTTACCTCGACTTAAATCTTACGTATTTACAATACTCGGAAACTTTCAGATCGGTCTTTGTACACATTGTTAGATATCTATTCTCTTAAAATACCGTCATCAGCAGAAATAATCTTTCACTCATACTTCTGTGGTTTTGTTACGACAGATATCACTGCTTCTTACTGACAGACAAACAGAACATGAACATTTGAAGATGTCATTGCCTCGAAAATTTAATTTCAATAAAATTACAGTCATTTATATTACGATAGACATAAAATTCTTGCTGATTTTGTCCCTATACATGTATTTGCGATAAATTCGAAAACTTTCGTACAATATTTTTGCAACACAGCGTCAGAGTTAGCTCGATGAAATATTTGTCGAACAGGGAATCATTGTTAGTTATACGTTTTTTATACATTTGTGAAAATCAGCGAGTTATCTTTCACTAAATATCCTCTCTCGACAGGATCTATGGATAAAGGACAGCTTGATGGTTTCATGGCGGATGGTGTAGCACCGACCCTGAATGGCCATAACTCTAACATGGGTTTCAGCAGCCAGCAAGTGAAGCAGTCATCCGACGTTTCCAGCATCGTTTATGACGTAGGACAGTACCCGTTGAACCTCCTGCGCAATCTCAATGCGCAGAGACTGGCGAACAAGTTCAGCGATGTGGGCCTGGTGGCTGGCGGCAGCATCATCAGAGCGCACAGATCGGTCCTGGCCGCCGGCAGTGCCTATTTCAACGCCATGTTCACTGTCGGTCTGGTCGAGGAGCAACAGGAGCTGGTGGAGATCCACTCGATCTCACCTCAGATCCTCTCCCAACTGGTGGACTTCATTTACAGCGGCACTGTAGACATCACGCAGGACAATGTGCAGGAGCTGTTCGCCGCCGCCGACATGCTTGAGTTAGACGATGTCGTGTCCGGCTGTATCTCGTATCTCAAGCAGCAGCTGCATTATTCTAACGCCCTTGGAATTTACAGGTGAGCTAACACACAGGAATGAGAGAACGCCGCTGTCTGTCTGTACGAAGATGACAAGAGCGTCGCGCCGTGTGTTTCAATGATGCGTCATTGAAGGCAGTCGAGTAAGTCAAATGACCGCTCGTCATCTTGTCGTTGATCGCAGATTCGCGGAAGCGCATAACAGACTGGATCTTTTGGAGACTGCCCTACGCTTTATAGAAGTCAATTTCCCCCAAGTCTGTCAGGAGGAAGAATTTTTGGATCTGCCCAAGGAACATCTCGTTCATTTTCTCAGTAGCGATTACATTCACATCGATACCGAGTGCCAGGTTTGTCGTGCCAGAGAGTCAGATGTAACGCGAGCGTTTCCACGTAGAATCCTTCAGATTTGCGAAATACGAGACAAGATGTATCTGAAGATCTTGAAGTGCCAGATATACGAGGACAAAATCGAGAAAAATGCATTTCTATTCTTTATATAATTAATTTCTCATTCTTTCATTAATTTCATTAATTTATTATTGATCGATTAATTTGACTTTCGATATGAACTGCTTCGATCATTCGCGCGAAAAATATTTCTCTTCCTCTATTACATTTTATCCATTTGCTGTAACACTTGGACCACTTTTCAGCCGTAGAACTCCCTGACAACAATCTAAAGCCGAACTCGTTCTCCAGGTCTTCCAAGCCGCGTACAACTGGATCGTGCACGACATCCCCGCGCGGAGATGCTACGTGTTTGAGATCCTCGGCCACATACGCTTGCGATTGTGTTCATTAGCGAGGCTGGAGCGAATTATCCTAGAATGCAAGGACGCGAGCCTCATCGTCGCGCTGCGATCCATACAGAAGGATTTAGTGTCGAATAAGGGTTGCCTGGTACCTCTTCACGCCCAGCCCCGTGTCTGTGCCAGGAAGAACATCCTGGTGATCGGCGGATCCAAGCGGGAGCACTCCGCGGACAGCTGGGGCAGAACCGCCGAGAGTACTTACGAGACTATCGAGAAATACGACATATTCACTGGGTACGACGATATTTCATACTTCCGTCAAGCGGGGTCTACGATGAGAATTTAAACTCTAAGCTTTAAGGAATTGGCCAATTGCAATTGATTATTCTTCTATAATTCGATTGTGATTGGTCAATTTCTCAAGACTCAGTTGTGCGCTCCAAAAGCTGTCGTACACGATATTTAAGAGACAAGATACTTGCATATTAACCACTTGCACCCTGTATGTAAGCGGTTTAAAAGAACAGTAAAATACATTTTACATAAATTATCACATTGTATTTCTATCTACTATCACAATATGTATTTTGGGAATTGTACGGCTCTCTGGAGCACTTATCATTTCAATTTACTGAATTCTTAGCTTAGAAGTTTCTTTTGCTTCGGGTGAAAGAGAAAGCAGACAGGGTGGCACGATAAATCGATGACTTCCAGGGAATGGAGCGAGGTGGCTCCGATCAGCATAGGACGCATCCTACCGGGGGTGGCTCTGCTGGACGGCAAGGTTTACGTTGTCGGTGGTGAGCTGGAGTCCTGCATAATCGCTAATTGCGAGTGTTACGATCCTCGTGACAACGTGTGGAGCTCGATCGCCTGTATGGAGGAGCCCAGATGCGACTTCGGTCTTTGTGCCTTGGACAACTGCTTGTACGCGTTCGGCGGATGGGTGGGCGAGGACATCGGCGGCTCGATCGAGATATACGATCCGATCCGCAACACGTGGGCCTTCGACAACTACCTGCCCGAGCCGCGTTTCAGCATGGGCGTCGTCGCGTACGAAGGTGACGATCCTGCCTCGCGATTAAGAGCATCGCGCTAATTTAGTAGATCATTTTATTTCTCAAGGCACGTAGCAGAGGGCGTGTAAGAGTTACTTGTTACTGAAGAAACTCACGAATAAATGCGATCCTAACAACTAGTCTGAAGACTAATTTAATTTACTATCTCTGTGTCTCAAGTATTTTGTAAAGAATGAAGCTTTATTGCTTCGATTCTGATTCGCGAACTGATCTCAATTTCCGCAGGATTAATTTACATCGTGGGCGGCTGTACTCACAACAGCCGGCACCGTCAGGACGTGATGAGTTACAACCCCGTGACGAAAGAATGGAAGCACTTGGCCCCGATGATTACACCACGTTCACAAATGGGTATCACGGTGCTGGACGGATACATGTACGTTGTCGGCGGTACCAGTAAAAATCAGGAGGTCTTAACCTCGGTCGAAAAATATTCTTTCGATAAGGTAACTTGGTTTCGTCACTTGTACGCGTTAATTTAACTTAATTGTGAAAGCGTTATACGAATACTTTCGTCAGAGAAACGCTAACATCGCCAATCAGTTCAGAACTTCAATGCGGACTTAATATATCACTATAATAAGCATCACGACATATCATAGTAAATAATAAAATCCAGCTCAACTCAATTGCATATAGTTCTAAAGAACCCGTTTTATTTTTCAAATCGCCGGAAAAAAACAGGGGGTTTTCCGAAAAATAGGATTTTTCTCGAAAAATTGCTCTTTTGCTATTTAAACGGTATATTAGATCGCTTTTAATGTCCTTCGTCATATTAATGTGATCGAAAAATTTCAATAATGTCGTTCTTGATAAAATCTTTATGTTTCTTTCTATCTTTAATCGTGAACGATGCCAAAGGGCCAGATCGTATTACGCGATACACTTCGGTTGAAACACGATTTACTCTTTTCACTACCAATTGTGTAAGCTTTCTCGTTTAAATTAGATATAAGCTTACAAGGAACTATATAATAAATAAACAAAAGCAATATCAATGTATTCGAGCCTTTGGAGCTGTACTTGTACAATTACGTTTGGAAAAAGGCACGTTCTCAAAGCACGTCGCACACCCACTTCATGCTCGTGTTTTTGCAGAACAAGTGGACAAGCGTCGCCCCGATGAGCATGGGCAGATCGTACCCGGCGGTCGCGGCGGCCGACAGCCAGCTCTACGTCATAGGCGGCGACCAGTCGCAGGAGATCAACTTCTACCGCACGCAGATCACGATCTCCACCGTCGAGTGTTACGATCCCCACACGAACAAGTGGCACGAGTGCGCTTCCCTGCCTTCGAGCAGAGGTGAGGCGACGGCGATCGTCGCACCCTTCTGATCGACATTTCTGAGCGGAAGTCCGGCTCGCACGGCTTGGTATCAGCTCGGCATTGTCGTTTCTCCTTGCTTCTCGATTCTGTCGGCGCTTCTTTTCCTCCTTGATATCCACTCGGCGTTATTCAACTTTGCCCTTATCCTTATAGACTGGCTTCGGTTTGAGTCGTATGTCACGGAAGAAGGACGACGGACAGGTTATTCGACCTCACTGAGAGCATTGTATCCGTTAGATTGATGGCTGGTCGTGTGTTATAATATCTAAAGAGTATTAAGTAGATCTATTAATTTTCGGAAATACTCTACGGGCGCGTTCACTTTTTAAATACTCACACTTTTTCAATACTCCTAATATTGAGGTATTATATATATGCGTATAAGTTGTAACTGAAAAAAAAAAGGGAAAAAAAAGATTACTACCATTTCTCACGAATCACAGGGCAGTCGCTGACCGACGCGGCGTTAAGAAGGAACCTGGGATCCAAGGAATGTAGAATCTAACGAATCTGAGTTTTTTTCCCCCAAGAAAGGCTGGGATTGAGGAAATTAGAATCTAAGGGATTTAAAAGACACTATGAGAGAGGTTTCACTTTTATAACTTAAAAGAGAGTCTCTTCGCTCAATGCATTCGAGACTTCAATGTCTTACGCTCCAGACATCTGTAAATTCTTGCGATGCATTGAGAAAGGGAGGTGATAAGAGACACCCAGCGCTCAAAAGTAGGGTCCAAATTATCCAGATTTTCAAAAAAAGAAAAAAAATGTTGGATCCGAATAACGTAAGATTTCGAGAATCTACAATCCGAGGGATGCGGGATCCGAGTTTTCTAAAACTCCGTAGCTCGATCGAAGATTCCGAGGAATTCAAGACTCGACGAAAATATCGGGTCTTGACGGGAAATACCCTCAGGAAAACATATATGTATCTATTAGAGTCGTTTTATCATTTTCGACGCGTGACACGTCGCGCACGAATTGGACGTGATAATTTAAATTCGGAGCTGTAGATACTGGATCCAGTGTCTTTTTTATCGAATTGTTTTCATCGATCAGGCTAACGCGCGAACGGATTTGAAACTAACGAGGATGTAACATACAGCGTGTAGTAAACACTTGAATACTTTTATTAATTAACGATGTGCGCTAGGAAAGGACTGAGCTTCTTTATATTACAATATAGTCACATACCAAAGTTGTAATTTTTAATCGCATCACTATATACGAGAATACAGTCCGCGTTTAAACGTAACACGTGTAAGGAGCTAAAACGTATAAGTCGAATCCAAAGATATTTGTCCTTGGATTGTCTAAGGGGATAAAGACACAAGGATTTCCAAAAGGCGAACTATTACGGGATGAAAAAAATTTCGCAAATTTCGGTAATGTGAAACTCCAGAATTACGCATCTTGAAACGTCGGAAAACAGTAAAAAAGTAACAATTCAAGAATCTAATAAATTCCGGAGATTATATTTTGATCTGATTAACAGTCCAGAAATTTGGCAATTGGCAATCCGGCAGTCGTGAACGAAAATGACTTGAATCTGAATGTGCGAAGAGATAGGAATCATTCATGCAAAAATCTCACGATTCCAATGGTCCTTGGAGCTTTTGACCCTCGGCACTTTGGAACTCCAGATTCCAAGGTGCACTGTATGTCGGAAAAGAAACCGATCTTCAATTTGAATCGCCGAAACCAGCAGCGTCGTTGAAGTCGGACAAACAATTTCTGAAATATGCGGGTCGAAGAGTGGCGGTGCTCTTCGGCCACGTCGTCACGGAAACATTCAAGCTCGATGCGTCGAGCTTGCAACGAGAATCGCCCGTTGCAACGTACACAAGTTTTCCACGTATGGTATGAACTTTTCCAAGTCGGAAGAGGAGACATCAGAGACGAGACCCAATGGCGAACCAGTCAGGTCGTTCGAAGGCCGCGACCACCGACGAGCTCGTCGGGAAAACGCGAGAAAATTACAACTCGGCTCGAATATAGAATAAAAAGGGTGGAACGCTGGCTGAGGAATTGTCCAAGAATCAATTTACAGCATCTTAAGACGAAGAAATTGGAAACGAACAAAAGAAAATCATCCAACGTCCGCTGTATTCGCCTGATTTGTCATCACGCAACTATCGTCCGACCCCAAAAAAGTAAGCGGCGGTAAGAGGAATATTACGATCACACACGATGACGTTGAAGTCATACAAGCCGCCGTGAAGAATCGTCAAGGTCATTCCAAGGACGGACTCACACAAATTCATGCGCTGCTTTAACGTGCCCAACGTTGCATCGAGGCAGAACATATTTCGAATGAACGTACAATATAACGTTAAATTAACCAACAATAAACACACACACACGTACACGCACACGTACACATAAACAATAAATTTTGACTTTTGGCAAAACAAACGATAGTTTCTTTTTTATTCAAAGATTTGGTCTCTTTTCCGACACGCTGTATGTATGTACGTTATCGATAAGATAATCATGTTTCTTAATTGGCGCGCGCGAAATCGCGCGCGCAATGTTTTGTAAACTCGTAAGGCCACGTTTTATAAAACCGTTCTGAGAATCGAAGAATCGCCGGTCTCTCTGTATATATATATACAGAGAGACCGGCGATTCTTCGATTCTCAGAACGGTTTTATAAAACGTGGCCTTACGAGTTTACAAAACATTGCGCGCNTATATATATATATATATATATATTATATATATATATATATAATTAATTATCCGTGTAACAATTCAATTTGCCATTGTTCGAAATGTGATGTTTGGTGCTACGTGAACAACATTCGCGAACTTTCTTCGATTATTCTCCAATTTCTCGACGTAGGATAAATATGAATGAGATGACCTTGTTTGAACAATTGCCTCACTCTGTTACATTTCAATCGTCCATTATGTAATTCACCAAAATCTTCATTCAGAAGTTAAAACTGAAAGAGGGACGTTGCATATATATATATATTTTTTTTTTGGCATATTTGCTTAATATATTTGTCGCACAATATAATTTTTTAATTTTTTTCCTATTTTTCCCTCGTATGATTTCAGTTGAAATAAAACAAGCTGAATCAATTTTTTTCTTACTCACGATTGTGCTGGAATATATAAGAAATTTCTTTCACAGATCTATCAATTGCTAGATCTATTATGTATTATGTATTGTATAAATAAGTATAGAAACTTATTAAAATAATATATGGGAATTATATAGATGTAGAAAATATGAATATATAGATCTTTAAATAGTAACAGTATATCCTCTGTGAAACGATAAACTTCAGACTTAACGTGAGACTCGTAGATCTAGGATTCTAGATTTCTACAACGTGATATGGGACTGCTTGGGCAAGCAAACGATAACGAGACACACGCGTAATTGATGAATAGATGTTATGATATTCCAAAACAGCCTTAAGAGGGGAATCATTTAAGGAGCGAGTAGTTTGCTGAAAATCATTTTCAAGATTGTTTTGTAAGAATTGTTTTCATATTTACATGGTTTGTTTTGTGTCGACGGGTAATACAGCGCTCTCGAAAGGATGGTTGCCTTTTCTTTAATAATTACAAACTGCACCTGCCAAGTTTGATACAAAAAATGAATTTTATATTTTTCTAATAAATAAGGAGATTATGTAAATTTTAAATCAATTAGTCGTGCGCTTTCTTTGGGAAACATTCTTAAAACCTGTCTTGGAAACGGTTTGCCTTCGGCAAACAACTCCCTTCTTAAAGTGTAGATAAAGTTTAGGAACATCTATAAACTTACGAATTTATATAGATGCATGGATCAAGAAAATAACGATTAATTCCAGTCGATCCAACAATTTACGGATGTAATGATATATTATGCGTTGAAAACAGTATTAAAAACTGAGATAAAGAATATTTTGATGAAATTTTAGTTTTTTAAATGTCATTAATTACGGTAGATTTATTTCAATTTAAATTTGAAATTGGGCTTTCAACAAACATGATTTTTGTCAATCATCTGTCTTTTGTTATTCAGTATCTCTATATAGATATATAAAATATATAGATTTTTAAATTCATTTTTACATTTTTAAAGATTAATTTCCAAAAACGTTTAAGACAATTGAAATAAAGGGCATCTTTAGCATATTTATCCTTCTTGAATAAAAGTCACCAATGAATTAGAGAATAAAAGATGATAAATATACAATACCAGTTACATGTATATTTGTGATCAATCAATAAAATTTATTGAAAAATTCCCTTTCATGCTTAGAATTTTGAAAATATTTAGTAAGAGGATCATTTGTGATAATAAAGAACCATTTGTTTCTCTGTTCTTGTTATATGAAATCCATTTATTGTTATTAATATTGTATATGTAATTAAAACGGCATAACGACATAAGGAAATCATTATTTACAAAAGATACAATAGATACAATAGAGTCTAAAGAAAGTTTCTGTTTAGTTGACGAAAAATCTACGGTTCAAGGCACCTACAACTCAATAAACCGTGAGAACCTATCAGTTGTAAGGAACCTAGGATTAAAAATTATAAAATGATCAGGTTACAGTATGGTTTTTAATTCCTTCTTAACTGTTGATACATTTCCACCTGCTCGATATTTATACCACAACTGACAACGTTTACAAGAGCGCCATGTCTCTGCAATTTAAATGGATGTTCAGTCCTTTACATAAAATCCCAGAACTGATTACATTTATATTAATGGCACACCTACATATCCAGAAATTTATACTCCACTTATATTTCAGATCAATGAATTTCTTCCAAATTTAGATTTTTCGACGATTTTCGAGGAACTTGGAGATCGCAGAACTGCATTTCTCAATGTAATTCCCAATGTGGAGGATTTGAAATTTATGAACCGTGCCTAACAATTACTAGTTCCGTATTACAGTATATAATCCAATTCATATCTTAAATATTGGTTCTTTGGATCGTTCATGATGCGAGGGTAACCAGCCACGAGAGCGTCCTGACCGCCGATGTAAAGGGAATTGTAAA